TCTCTTACAGCTTGAGCCTAAGTGTGTCGCAGGATACCCTCCAGGTGATAGTTCTTGATTACTTTTTGATAAATAATTCGTTCTTATTGCGAAATGGGAGCACTATTTATCAATTTGTAATAAAAGACGTGAGGAAATTCAAATTCAAAGACAAACATTTTTGAGGCGAAATACCCAAAAAGAAGTTTGTAAAAAATAATATTTAGATTATAAAGCATATTATGTATAAGATGGGAGGTTGATAAACGTAGTTATAGCTTGTTTCACATCTTACTTTTGAGCTTATCGGGAAAATCTTCAACATTACATGGTTCCAAATCGGAAAACACTGTTATGCCTTCAAATCTATCCGGTTTTCCTTGAAACAAACCAATATTTGACGGATTCGTTGCCATTGTTAATGCTGGCTGACAAAAATATCTGAAACCCGAAAATGAAATAGATCATCGTCGTTCCTACACAAAAAAAAACTTAAAACCCTTACTTGGCTATCACTGTTTTGTGTCGATGATCCTGAAAATGGGAAAACCCTTGTGTAACAATCAGAGATACAAATTTCCTGAGTAAGAATGAATGACATAACTTGCCATCACCTACCAATAACAAGGACACTTTGAACAGCATTCAGAAAATGTCAAATGACTTAATTAAACGTTATCTAGGCCACTAATGAACTTTGTCCAACAGATAAAATCTAAGCAGAAATTTAAAAAAATTGTAAACAACAAATCATAACCTAAGTATTGTAATGCCAGGAATCAGCTGATGGAAAACGTTCCCGCCAGTAATACAAAAGCGGCGAAACTTATTTGATGTAATTTTTTGTATGCGGGGCGGTTGGAAAAATATGTTTGTTGTTTTTTCGAATTCATCATAAAAGCCTTGCAGTTTTCAATGAGTCGAAAGAAGGTGCATGCTTTTAACTGCATATTGTACGAAAATGTTCATGTACAGCTCAGTGGCGGCATCAGCTTTATTTTCCGCTTGGGCAAAAGCCGGCGGAACATTTTTCAAGATGGGCAAGAGATATTTATACTTTTAATTTGTAAGAGTTGGATATAATATATCTGTTTTACAAAATGTTTTGTTTGACTCTTTGGCCGAATCTAATGTTAAATATGTTTTAATTATTTTTATTTAACATACAATAAGCGTTGCAAAGATTCATTTTTACTACACTTAACGACATGTTTTTGTCAAACAAGGAGCTAGCAGAGTTTGACAATACCTTGAGTGTCCCAATTTGAGTTTACAATACAAATATTATACGAGACTTTATCTACTTTCATAGAATAACGAAAAAATGTTACAAATATATTATATATTTCACAACTGTGAACATTTTTTTAAACGTTATTATGTTGGAAACAAATGCTGAATGAAATTCGCTACAACACTAGTATTGCAATAAAACCTATTATAAACAAATATATTTTGTAATTGAACAATTCCTTTTAAAAACGAAAGTAGATTTAAAATATTTAAATTAACGAATAACAATATAAACATTGAATAAAACTTTAAGAAGGTAGTGAAATAATTCAATAATGAAATATTATTTTAAACAAAATGAAAAGTTATTCACGTAGCACCTTAGAAGAGACATACAGGGTGTCCCGTAAGCTCATGATCAAAAGAGTACTTTTGTTAATACAAAATGTCTGGCTCCTTTGCAAATATCGGGAGAATGGTACGATTTATTTTGGTAAAACTCGCTGTGAATTTGTTTTTATGTTAGACTCACATTTTGCTGAAACAGTCGCGTTCAGCCGTTCAGCCAAAGACAAGTGGTGAATTCTTGAGGGTCGTGGTACAAAAACTACCAGAGCTTTTTAGTTGGTGGATGAAATCAATTCATTTTTTTTCTGTTTGATGGGAAAACTTACTCAGACTGGGTTTTGAAAGTTCATGTAGCGCTAGAGCCAAATAAACGGTTTATTTTTCCTCTGTATCAAAATCTTTGGCTCTTGTCCTAGCAAGAAACAAGTACCCATATTTAGATTTAAAAATAATTTATTAATATTAAGTACTTAAAAATTAAATTCCCGAACATCTCCGAATGCTTTCAAGTTCACTATAATTATTGTCGAATTTAATCTGATTTATATCGCCATTAAAAGTGATTGGGCGAGACAAATTTTGATTGGGACCTCGGCCAACCTCGCCCACCCCTAGCGTCGCCACTAGTAAAGCTGTAAAGGTAGGTTCGAAAAATTTTCTAAATGTTTTTATTCAAAGCTAAAGCTAGAGTTAATCTTAAGTAATGCCAAATAGTTACAACAGTCAACGGAGTGTGAGCTGTTGATCATAATCAATTTTAGGGTTTTAACGCCTTTTGAGGTTCCATTAAAGAAAATAAATTGGTATAATTTCATCGATTAATATCCATATTATAAAATGCACATACAAGATGACAATGCTAATAAATCTCCCATGAGCTTCTTTAATTAAGCTTCGAGTCTGGACGTCGAATAAAATTTAAAAAGGACAATTGCACACTTTTACGTTACATTGACAACTTTTACGCAAGATGTTGGAAAACAGTAGGTTTGATTCAAAACAGTAAGAAAACAGAAGCGCGAAAATCTCAGTTTCTTTCAAAATGTGATGCTGAGGAACGCCAAAGCTATTGAAATGGAACCGAGACGTAAATGTTATAATTTCATTCATTTCATTCAAGATTTGATTTATGACTATGATGTAACAATTATCAATCAACAAATTATTAACAGATCATCACATCACACGCATATTCCATTGAAAATATTTAATATATACTTCTAAATATTCAGTTTTCGCTAAATGCAAATTTTCCAATTGTAGATGTCTAAAACCACTTTGCTTATTGGTTTTTCGTATCTTCTATTCACAAGAATTGAAGAAACGGTAATAGTGCGGATGCAAACAAGAATAAGTCTAATATTCCTTCAATCAAAGAAAGTAAGCGAAAATTTATCAAAAGTTTTAAAGTTTTGCAATGGCAAATTTTTCCAATCCTAAATATTCCTGAAAAGTTTATAAGCCAAGTGTAAATTGAAGTATTTTATTATGATGTTAAATCACGAAATTATGAAATAATAATTATGATTATAATAAAATAGTTTAAAAAAATAGATAAGTTTAAAAAAATTAAACCGGCAAAAAAGCAGATTTACTTCATAAGATTGAAAGGTAGACTACAACATCTCGGTGTTCTGAGTTGATACCGTAACCGAAGAAACAAATGGTTTTACTAGAGAAGCCTTTATGAGCAGAAAATTATTTTTATAGCTTCGGCTGAACTGAACATAATACTTGTTATGTGTGTTTTTAATGCTAAACTAGCAAGATCGCAAGTCTTTAAAAGCAAAACGGTAAACGCATGCTTTATGCGTGACTGCACTGATCATGAATTAAGATTGCTGGGTTTTGCGGCATCAATTAAACGGCCCTATAAATCAGGAGTAATCGAACATAGAAATAATCATAAGCAGACCTGCATTTATAACGGAGGAAAGACCCGATAGTGATTAGAAGTAAAAAAAGGATGGGTTAAAGACGCAAACACAAAAACTTCTGGTTAAACCCAAATTCATTTTCGTGGCGCACAAATTGAAATTGAAAAACGAAAAGCTCTGTAAACTGCAATTGGATTCGCAGCAAAACAAAATATTACAAACAAAATGAGGGAAACAATTAAAAATTCAATTAAGTACTTGTGTAAACTTTAAACATTCGTTTTTGAGCCTGATCTCTTAACTTAAGCTCTAACCAGTTTCTGTTGTTAGTGTGCTTTATTTTTCTTATAAGAATTTGAATACCACAGTATCAAACTGATAAAAATGAAGTAAACTGATAAGATAAGAAAAGGATAGAGGTTAAGTTAAGAGATCAGGATCAAAAGATCAGAAGATAAGAGTAGAAAATGGCCTTGAAAACTAGTCTCGAATAGAGTAAGCAATGGTAGCAAAACTATTCATTTTTCACGAGATATAGAATATAGTAAACACAATTTGATTCTTACATTAGGAATTAAGCCACTTTGGAATTGATAAATCAAAATGATGCAATGAATGAATCCTCGCCACAAGTAAAACTGAAGAGTAAGCACGTTTACGGATTATTAAATGTACATGCAGAATAAGAAAGATGTGAAATATGCTACACATCTTACGACCCACGAACCCCTAGTGTAAGAAGTATCGCAAGCAATCTACAACCTAAAAAACAAAAAATACTTAGGAAGAGACACTGTATTATGAAGGTGTCTAAACTAAGAACGGAAAACTTAGGTAGGTACTTTTTTATTGTCTGATCTGCCAAATATGTAAAGAAGAGCAAATTCTGATCCTCTGGAAAAAAAGTGTCATAGTACTCATGCATAAATAAGGCTATAAAATGAGAGGCTCTTTGACTGCACACGCTTATATAGTATCAAATAGGAAACGATTTAGAGGAAGTAGATTAACTAACCATAGAGCAAATATTAATTATTAGGCAATTAACGGTGCAGTATTGATCATAGAACAAAACCTTGCAACAGCTTTTCTGAAAATTTTAACAAGGTCGTTATACCATTATACAAGTTGAACTGAGCTGGTCCGAAAACGGAGCTGATCTGGTTTTATCAGCTTAACAAAAGTTGTCTCGGCGCGTAAGACTTAAAGAAGAAATGTCGACGTTCTATACAATTAAAAAAAAAGATGTCATATTCCAACTCGTATTCAACAATACTTTCTACTGATAATATAACAAACTAATATATATTAAATCAAGGAAAAGTTAATTAAGCAGGAGGTTAGATGCTGCATGAAAAGTTGCGAAAACAACCGGTACAGTTTTGAACGAATTGATCAGCTTGTATGTTTGGGCTACGAAAGTGATAAAATTAAGAAAAATATTCAATACAACAATAAAAGTTGACAATAATTTAGAAGATATACATATGTAATAACACATGCAAGCACAATATGAGCGTTGACGACACAAAATGAGAACCGACTATAAATCGAAAATAAAATCGGTTAAGTTAGAAGAATAAATGAACACTCTAGTAACCTTACTGGTATTATGTATGTAATGTTGACATTTATTTCTATTTAGTAATCCAAATCGGACTGAAAACAATAAATAAAGAACGTGCAGCACAAAGTAGCAATAGAACTTAAAATACCACGTCCGTTACTACCAGCATAATCCCAAAACAACACAAATTGTTTCTCGAAAATTTTATATTTTATAGGAAAGTTCCTTCGAGTTTCGCCATGTCTACTTGAATGGAATTGTACGTTCCAACAAATATACTCACTATATATAGAATGACAACGACAAACAACAAAAGGCTTTATAGGGCAAATTTATATCAACAAATGATATTTACTAATGATTAATCTTTACGGTATTGCAAACATTAAACTTAAGGTAATTTGCATAAACAGGGGCGTAATGTATTTGGTCGATAAAAATAATTCTGTTTTCTTTTTCGAATTCATCATATTATTAACTGCTACGAAGGATAAAAAGTAAATAAATTAAAATTAAGAAAATTTGAAAACGATGTTTGCAACGTAAATCTCTGATTCTGTTGATGTTTTTCGATAAAAAAGGCGAAATTAAAATTAATTTTCTGATTTTATGAAATTTAAGTTACATTCATCTTTGATACGAAAGGTTCTATAATTTCTGTTTAAGAAACCCAATTGCTACATTTCAGGCAACTGTGCCTAATGTAACTATTTCACCATCTGACATTTAGATGTGCACAATATCTTACTGTAGTACGTTTTTCTGTCCCCAGAAAATATCAACTAAAACTAAAAATAGCGTTAAAATGTTCGAAAAAATTTTCATCTACAAATGCCAAAAAATTAAAAATCAATTAAAATAACAGAATCTCAAGTTTTCTAAAATTGAAAATAGACGCTTAATACTGCCCTGTTTCAAGTAACCGCGAATTATCAGGTACCTTAGATTTTCTTGTAGTTCTTTCCACTTTCGTTATCAGACGAGTTTTAAACATAAAAGTATAATTGTTAATGTAATTCCAACATACAATATTAGAAAGTTATTTAAATATCAATTTCATCAATTTAATTGTCATTGTTGGAAACAATGTTTTTGTGATGAGGCCACATTAAAAATTTTGTATATTTCCTGTGACAACACGTAGTGCCCAATAACTGGGGAAAATGACCAAAGTATGATTTAGTTCAGTTTACGTTAAAACGTTGGCTTGCTTCATCTGAAATTTGCAGGAAAATGGATACGTTAATAACGCTTTTAATGAGCATCAAGATGAGGCGGTTCCTAATGGGTCAAGAGATCAAAATCAATCAGAGGTATTTATAAAAAATACGGCTTATAATTTAGTTGAAGCAAAAAGTATCATTAATAAAATAAATTGCATATCATTAAAATATTTTGCGCGTGCATCATTAAACTGTTTTTAGCAATTAATTCCAAACCAGGAAGTTTTCCGTCTATTAGTTATTGTTCAACCATTCAAAATATACGCAGAATAGCAAAATGTTTATTAAAAACGCATATGGTATGAGTTACGAGAAATCCTTTGAAATAATGCGCGCACGTAAGATTGCAAATTTAATTGAAACGAAAATATTTACTCTGATCGTAAAAACCGCTCACTTCTTTGATAAAGACTCGTTAATAAAATAATAATACTAAATCGTTTAAGATAGGCGACATAAAACCAAAATTCCTGGTTATAAAATCTGGAATGTTTTATTTTATGTCTTCGTAGTTTCGCGTAAAAGCCAGAAATCTTTTATACAGCGAATAAAAAAATTTGAATTGAATTTAAATTGGTTTGCAAAGCATAAAAATGGTAGTCGGTCGGATTCGGAAATTCGGATTAGTCAGACAAACACGATAGGTGTGGATGAAATAGTAAATATAAGAAGGAAATGTAAAATGTTGGCAATTACTGATTTAAAAAGAGTTTTACAGTGAAAAAAGGAAAATTCAACTGTTAAAACTGGCGAAAAATTACGAAATCACAGCCGTAAGTGAACCACAGAATAACCAATTGTATTCAGCTTATCAAAAGCTGTTAAACACTATTATTTTCAAATATGCATCATAATTACCATATAACGCTGATACGTGCACAGTTTCCCATGATTTCATGCAAACGAAATTCCGATTACAGAAGACATAATAACTTGTTTCCAGGATTCGGATAGTAAAGCCATTGAACAATCCAATCCAGACAGACTATCATGGGACAAGCCCATAGAATTTCTAATGTCCTGTATAGCGATGAATGTCGGCTTAGGAAATATATGGCGATTTCCATTTGTTGCCTACGAAAATGGCGGTGGGGCCTTTCTTATTCCTTATATTTTGGTGTTAATGCTGATGGGAAGGCCGATGTATTATTTGGAAGCATGTTTAGGACAATTCGCTAGTAGGGGTAATGTGAAAATATTCGAGAATTTAGCACCAGCACTCAAAGGTAGGCTTCAACTTAAAATGTATTCGCCTTAAGATCCATTTATTCATCGATGATATATCAATATCACAAAAAATACGAATCACTGATAGAAATCCATTAGTAAATTATGTTTTGATGGTTTAACATTCTTGCATAAAGTGGTCGATTTCGGAATTATAAATAAAAAAAACGCAATTTTTGTTTTGATGAATAGGTAATACAACTTTCGTGTTTCTATTAAATTTTTATAAAATTAATAACATTTTTCAAAATTAGTTTTTTCTATGGTAAAAATTCACTATGGTAAAAATAATGATTTATTTCCAATGTCTGATTTAAAAAAATCTAAAGCAATTGTGTACAACCTTAACTTATCCACAATTTGGACGGATTTCGAATACCTAAGGAAATTACTTCCCGATTCAGCTTTAAGATGATATTACAATTCAAAACGATTCGCCTGACAATTAAAAAGTAACTGCTTTTAATATATTTTTTTTGTAATACCCGAGGATTTTCAATGCTTCTTAAGTAATTTAGTATACAATTCGTAAGAAAATATGTAATGAGAATCTGCTCCAAGAAAAACCAATATCAATTCAATTCAATTAATTTTATTCATTATTTTAGGTGTAGGCTTTGGTCAACTTGTGGGAACCATATGTGTGGCAACTTACTATTGCTCGTTGATGGCAATTACTTTGTTTTATTTAGTAAACTCTTTTTCTGCTGATTTGCCATGGGCATCGTGTAATCCTGAATGGGATTCTGTAGAGTGGGTAAAAAATGATAATATAACATGTATCGCATCGAATTCCACTTCAACTGTAAGTAATACAACGAATACAACGTCAGGTAGTGAAATGAGTTCGGCCGAATTATATTTCAGGTAATATACACATTAATTCAGTCATTAATCATATACTAAGGGATAGTGCTTTATCGCACAGTAAATAAAGGAATTCAAGCAAAAAGAGTATTAGTCTCTAGTATCTTAGTATCGTTAAACGTTTTTTTTGTTATTACGTCAAACAAAATTATAAAAGTTTTATTGTATTTTAATTTTATACACAAATGAGAATTTAGCTTTCATCCAAATTGTTAAAGTAACTAAAGTGTTTGGAAGCATCTTCTGCAAAAAATAGTTGTGCATCCAATTGCTTAATTCAAATTATATCTTTTTTGCTCTAGCCTCTTCGATATACATATATTTACAAAGTATTTTATGCATCCATTTTTTCCATAAGGTAATTGTCCACCACGTCATCATCAAGGTAGCTAAAAATAACAAGAAAACGATAAGTATCCCGGGAGATATCGCATGAAAAAGAGAAACTTACTAGTCAACATTTTAGTACAAGCAACATCCCCAAGAGGACCGGATAAAACATGCCATAAAACAGAACAAATTGGTGGAAACTTAAGAGTCCAAAAAAGGTCTTTTTACAATGTTTAATGTGATTTTTACAATTCCATTGGGGACGCTGCTTGGGCTAAAATTTTGTCGATTAAAATGTCTCTTTTTTATACGATACTTGACGTTTCCTGGTTATTTTTAACGGCCCTGATCATGACGTGATTATCAAAATCGCATGGTCTTACATTACATTCAAGAATGTTTCTCAACTCCTTAGAATTACATACACACTAAATACCAAGCTTCTTTTATTGGGCACCAAAAATTGCAGATCAATGAAATATTTCTGGGCTTTTACAAGAACTGTATGATCTCACATACGATTTCTATCGCGTATTTTTGTGTACCTGATGAAGCTCGTTTTTCTCCAAATTCCATAATTGAACTTTCATAATAATTCAACATAATTTATTCAATCATCTGGGCAGATGAAAATCTTCATGTGGTTTCAGAACTGAGTGATTACTTCATCGAGGCTGATTTTTATCCCAAAAATTGAAATTTCAAAAGTATCGTCAATTTTTGCCAGAACTATATTATTAACATTAGAACATGTTCCACTGGTAGTACGACGAGCAATATTGTTAATCCAACGCAATTTTCTGGATGGCACTTAAAAGTTAATCGGTCGCATAGTCATACGATGACTGTGATAGTCACCGAGATCACCGGAATTAAATCCAATTGATTTTTTCCTTTGGATCATGTAAAATATCTCGTCTATAAAAATTCAGTGAAAACCAAGTAGGAAAAGTCCAATAGACACTGTATTTTTGTGATAAATAAAAATATTTCAATTAGATCTGAAATGAATGTGAAGACGAGCTAATTATGGTCTCTTACAGTTAAACGCGGGTATCCTTAGCAACTACAATATACTTCCTGTTATCAATTAAGTGATTATAAGCAGATGTTTTTCCAAATTGATTTCTTAAATTTGTAGTGTGACCCATTGGTTTTTGTGTGCAGATGCAGTGATCTGCCAGTGGGAAATATGGCAGTAATTAATCGTAGTTTTACAATAATTTTAGCAGTGAAAATATAAACACTGAACAATCAACCGCTCCCTTTTTTTTCTTAAAAATATTGTCCATGTTTTCTCTCGCTAAGCCACAGGGCTTTAATGATTTAGTCTATTTAAGGCAAAATTAACATGTTACTGATGTAAATGACAGTGCTAATTTTCAACAAAATCGACGGCAAGTTATTTACAAAAAACAGTTTTCTTTTTTAAATTTAAACACCTTCTATATTGCAATTGATTTGAGGGTTTCTTTCTAAAATCACCCTCAGAAGCCTCAAATAAAACAAACAAAACGAATAGGAATGAATTTTGCTTGAATTACAAATTAGAAACAAAAACAAAATTTTAATAGAAACAGTTCCAAAGGAACAATAGAAATTCAATAGAAACAGTTCCAGTTTGGCCAAAATCTTATTTTTTTTTCATAATTGGTATTTGAAATTGCGGGAAAAAGCATCGCGCTACAAATTGGAATAAAACATTGCTCATTAACAGGTCTTCTCAAACATTAGGCTGATATTTTATGTTCAGACTACAGTAGAATACTCCTATGACGTGGATATTTCCCAAATGTGTTGTTAAATGTTCATTTCAACTTGATTAGAATTAGACGTATAAACTAGTATTAAGTAACTATAAACAACAAACCTGTGAAAATTATAAGTAACTTTTAAGAACTCATGACGTTCTTGTCTGAGTTCTGATGAATGCATTAAGCTTATACTTATATTTAAGCTTAAACAGAAATATACCAGATTCCAACTAGAAACGTTAATTTACATTAGTTAACAATTCTTCCGACAATCTCAGATAAACATTCCTTCACAGCTTTAGAGAAGCTTAGTTAATGTTTTATAATGGCATTAATATTTAAACCTATAATTTGTTTTAGATGTATTCTCCTAGAAATTTAACATGTTTCTTATCACACGAATTAAAATAGCATTAAATAGCGCATAGTAGTTAAAGACGTATAAACTTCTGCCACCATTAAATGCATAGGTCTATTCTAAAAATAAAAGGAAGCTAAAAATCATCAAAACTCATTCACACTCCTTCAAATCAAACTCGCAAGCCGTTAACACTCTTTAAGATCTGTTAATAACACGAAAAACTGGAATTTGTTGTTTTTAATTTAGGGATCTGGATGATCCATAAATGCTCTTTCATTAAATATGTAAGTTGCAAAATATATACAGACAGTCTATTTTCCGAATACTTGCATTGAATTAATTTTTAGAGGCAAAATTTGTCGTACTCGTAAATACCCAAAGCATACCTAGAGCGCGATGAAGGAATGGAAAATTTTCAATAAACATTATGAAAAAAGTTAATCTTAAAAAGCGCGAAGATCGACCTTTGCACCATTTTTCTGGTTATATCCAAAATTTTCTTTGCGAGGAAAAGTTCACAATGCTGGAAAGTGCAAATGTGCAAATAAATGTCATTCATATTTTTTACTTATGGAATTTTACCATCTATGCAAATGAGAAACGAACAAACAGACTTGATACTCCCATGTCACTCAAATATCAGTAGAATGTCGAATAAAAAGATGGATGGAAAACGTGAAGTTCCCAAAAACCAAATACAATAAATAAAGTTAGATACTCAACAGAAAAAAACTCATCACAAAAAGGATTCAAATTAGGAAATTACGCTTTCTTCCTTAAGGCTATGAAGTATAGCATTTTTATAATTTTAGGATAGACGTTTTAAAAGAATCTGTCGATATCTCAGATGGTATTGGAACTCCAGATTGGCAGCTCGCATTGTGTTTGCTGGTTGCCTGGGCCATTACCTTTGGTGTTTGCGCTAAAGGTGTTCAGAGTTCCGGAAAAGCATCCTATTTTCTAGCCCTTTTTCCATATGTGGTTTTACTGGCATTACTCATACGTGCCGTTACATTGGAAGGTTCTGGCACGGGGATACTGTATTTTATCAATCCCAAATGGGACAAACTTCTGGACGCCAAGGTACATATAAAAACATTTTTGACCTCCAAAATAATTGTGAGTGAAAAACCTGTTTACAAATATAAAGGTTAAGGCAAGAGAATAGTAGGTATTAAAAAATATATAGCATGGCAAAACTTGATTTCTTCCCTCTGCAATGTGGATTACATTTTATTAATAAAGCAATTAATTATAATTATATTTTATATACTTTCCTGACTGTGTTTCAATTCCAAATCAAATCTATTCCTGGGTTTCAGTCATTTATTGTCTCTATTTATTAATCAAAATACTTTTCGGTGTATTTTTCCACCATCATCAGTTTTTCTAAAATAACAGATAGTTAAAAAAAAATCATTAATTTAAAAAAACAACCACAGTTCGTCAACAGCCCCATCATATCACATATTAAAATACATCACAAATGCAATACTTTAAAACATTCTAAAATGAATTAGGCCTCAGGTGATTAGTCAGGACAATCAAATTTGGGAAGAGACTAGAATGGTTCGTTCAGATACTTAATTATTTTTACTTACATATGTAGCGTTGTTGCTGCTTTAAGCCTTGGCATGCATTTGGAGTATTAATTTTGTCCATTATCGGACACAAAACGAATAAATTACTGTTTATATTGATTTCTTTTACTTTCAGCTATTTTTTTTGCATTCTGCTGATATTATTTTTGGTTTGCAAAATTCTTCAATATACCGGGTGTTAGTTAATATTTTATGTTTATTTCATTTAATTAATGTATGATATACTGAGCTAAAAATTATTAAGTATCTGAACGAACAATTGTAGTCTCTTCTCAAATTTGATTGTTCTGACAATCACCTGTTAGGCCTAATTAATTTTAGAACGTTTTAAAGTATTGCAATTGTGATGTATTTTAATATGTGATATGATGAGGCTGATGACGAACTGTGGTTGTTTTTTTAAATTAATGAAATTTTTACAAATTAGAAACAAAAACAAAATTTCAATAGAAACAGTTCCAAAGGAACAATAGAAATTCAATAGAAACAGTTCCAGTTTGGCCAAAATCTTATTTTTTTT